GTAGTCATTCAAGAAAGCCAAACTGTGTGGTTGCTGCCTGAACCCGATCTATTAAGAGTGTCAATGATTTTATAAGGTTATATCAGATCCCACCTTCTTTCCTCTGCTTCTACCTTACCAAGATTCTCAAAGTGGTGTCTCTTTATGGTTCCTGTTCAACATAATGTCCCTTTAGTTCCTGAGCCAATCTTGAGTAGAGCAGAAAGTTAATCCCTGCCTCAGGCTACCATTTGTTAAGGTTGGCATGAAGTCAGACCTCCACCCTCTACTCCTACCAGACCTGGATGCCCACTAAAGTGATACACCTCTCAGGTTGACCCCTCAAGTCTTCTTCACAGCCCATCATCCTAGAATCCTGTGTCCAAGGATGAGCCCTGAGTGTCTGCATGACCACTGAATCTCATTACCTCAGTGTTTCCTACAACTGAGCATCTACCATGTGACAAATCAAGCTTTTACTTTCACAGAGGAGAAAGACCCATAAAGAAATGCAATATAAGGGCCAACCCAGTGGTGCAGCGGTTAAGTGTGTGCGCTCCGCTGCGGCAGCCCGAGGATTCGCAGTTTTGGATCCCAGTCACGCACCGACGCACTGCTTGTCAAGCCATGTTGTGGCAGCATCCCATATAAAGCAGAGGAAGACGGGCATGGATGTTAGCCCAGGGCCAATCTTCCTCCACAAAAAAAAAAAAAGAGGAGGATTGGCATTCGATGTTAGTTCAGGGCTGATCTTCCTCACAAGAAAAAAAAAAGAAATACAATATAATGTAGTAAATGACATGCAGATGATACTGTGGGAGTGTGGAGGAGGGATGTTAAATCCAGCAGGAAGCCTGCCCAGAAAAGGTGGTAGAAAAGGTTCTCCTGATCTTGAAGAATAAGGAGTTAGCCAGGCAAAGAAGAGGATGAAGGGTATATAAACATGTTTCAGATAAATGGAACAGCATGAGCAAAGGCACAGAAGCATGAAAAAGCATGGATTATTCTGGAAATCACAAACATTTAAGTATTGCTGGTTATAAAATGTAAGGAGAAGAGAAATGGGAGATGAGGCTGGCTAGGGAGGAGACCTATCATGTCATACTATCCATCATGTCAGTGATGGGGAGTCAATGAAACAGAGTAACCCAAAATACATGGTTGGATTTGAGTTATACAAAGACCACTCTGGTGTCTGTTTGGAGGATGAGTCTGAGGGATGCCAAACTGGAGGCAGGGAGAACATTTTTTAAACTTTTCCAATAGTCCTGGTGGGAGATGTTGAGGTCCTGAGCTAGAGCAACAGAGGGACTGGAGGGTAGAGGAATATGAGGTGATAAAATTAGCAGGCCTTAGTGATTGTGTTAGTCAGGATAAGCTAAATTATGCTATAGTAACAAGTGATCCCCACATCTTAACGGGTTACTACAAAGGTTTATTTCCCAATCATGCAGCACGTGTTGCAGGTCCAAGCATCTCTCCAAGGCAGCCACCCTCCATGTGATGACTCGGTTAGCCAGGCTTCTTTGATTTGGTGACTCTACCATCTCACCACAAAACCTCTGCTTTCAACACAACAGAAGAGAGATGTTTCAGGTAAAGAGAACTGAGAAAGGGAGTTCTCAATTGAGAAAGAGTTATTCTACCTTAGCCCAGAATAATACATGAATTTTCACTCACATTTCATTGGCCCAAACTAGTCATATGGCTGTGCTTAAGTGGAAGTAGAATAGGAAGTGTAGTCTCTCACATGCCCAGGAAGAAAAAAAGAATTGGATATTGCTAAGCACTGTCTACCACAGCCCAAGGTCATGGTGGAGTAGAGATGGGATAGCCGCTATAGCAATATATACATGTAGTAGATGGAGTGGTGAAAGAAGATTAAAGGAAACCTCAGGTTTCCAGCTTGAGAAAATGGAGGTTGACAGTGCTAGTCAGTGAGAAGGGAAAGCTGGAAGGGCAGCATATTTGAGGGGGAAATAATGGTTTTGGGGCACATGAAACTTCCCTAGGTTAAGCATTATATCCAGAGATAAGAAGCAAAAGGTAGAGTGAGGTGGAAGGCAGCGCTGGGCAAAGCTGAAGTCAGTTATAGTGTTTGAATGGTTTAGAAGGGGTAGTTAACTGAATCATGGCCATGAGTAGAAGGCAAAGCAGACAAATCACCAGGAAAAGATGTTTGGGGAAGAAATATAGGCTGGTGCTCAAGGCTGCTTTCAGCATCAGGCACACATTTGCCTGATGCTATAAGATATTTTAAAGGTGTCTTTGAACGCCTGCCACTGCTCTGAACTTTAGTGACTGGTGCCTTGGTTTTCCATCTCTCTTTAGCCATCCAGCCTTCCCTGGGCGTGGATCCTGCTCCCATAAACAAACCTCTGGAGCCTGCCCACGTGTAGGCAGCTTATCATTCACCCCTTATTCCATTCACCCCTTACCCCTGTCTAATCATACCTTGGAATATCTCCTACCTGCCATCAACAAAGGCCATAACCATAAGAGAGCTGGCTACCTCCTTTAGACTCTGCCTTAAAGTCTTGCTCCAGGTCCAAACTCTCATGCAGGACGGTTCCTCCAAATCCCATTCTGAGTCTCTTACACAAGCTATGGCCTGGCTCTTGCTCACTAGCCTCCCTGCCAGCTCAGAGAGCTGTGGTCCCAGCTTGCCTCAGGCCATGCCCTTAGGAATTCAAGAAGGTCAATAAAAGCGATGATCTTGCATGTTTTCCCAGAAAATATTTATTACCAATAAAGGGTAAAATTTCTGTGAGATTCATGGAGTGAGAGGTGGATGGTATTATGCAGGAACCAGCCTGGAATCATTACGGCAATAAATGGAGAGATCAGTTGCTCCCAGCTGGACATGGGACCCCATGTCCTGAGTCCATTGCTGATATTACTGGGATAGGGATAGTGTGTGGACAAGAGCTAAGACGAGGACCCTGATAACTGCCAAAGCTGACATTCTGTTATTCTAAAAGATGAACATATCTACAAATCATGCCTAAGGTGCTCAAGTTCACATTATTGCTTAATGCAATTAAAAAGAGGTAACAAATACGAAAATACATTGTATCCTGTAACACTTTGAGTAAACGCAGGGTATTGAGACTGTTTAAAAGCTAGTCATGTAAAAATAAGCTTTATAGCCCCAATTTATGGAGAGGCACTATGCTAAGTGTTTTATTTACATTATTTCCTTCAATCCTCCCCACAACCATAAGAGATATGTACTATTATTATTTGCATTTTATAAATAGGGAAACCTAAGCTCGCAGAGTATCTAACCCAGGTCACAGCTAACTGGTAAGCGGCAGAGCCTGTGGTCAACTCCACACTTGTGTTGATTCCAGAAACAGAAAACACTGCTGTGTCTTTGTTTTTATCCTGGCTGAGCTATCTCTTCGCTCATTGTCGGCAGAGGTTAGTTCTGCAACACCAGCTCTGGTCTCTGCTGTCAGCCAAAGAGCAGCCTCTGGGGGATTTTGAGGAGAGCCTGATTCTAAAGGAGGGCTCCCTCCCATGCAACAGGCCCGCAACCGCCAAGCTCTTGCTGCTTCAAGGCTGGCCTTATCCGGCAGCCTTCACATTCCTGCTAAGCGCCTCAAGCAGGACACATTCTTGACTGGGTGGAGGAAAGAATTCCTAGAATTCTTTAGCCGCTGTCCTCCCAGGAGCTCCTATTCTCAAGTGGGATGGAGGGGAAAAAACCTTCATTTCTAATGTTTGGAATTAATCTGAATTAAGTCCTGCCCTCCAAGCCATGAAAAGGGGAAAAAACGGAGAGGGGTGGAGACTCAGGACCATTGAGACATGTACTTCTCCTTATGACATGTTTCAGGATTGTGGAATCAGGAACTCAGAACTCTTTCTTAATAGTCTCTAGGGCCTGTGAGGTCCATGCATTGGATCTTCATGGTTGACAGACACTGTGTATTGTTTGTCATTCTTATACGTCATAGCGTCTTAATATCAGTTATACATTGTAAATAGAACAGTCCAGATGTTTGCATGAACATTACCTCTCTTATTACACCAATAACATTATTTTTATAAATGACTTTATATTTTACCATGCCTTGTCACTTACATTATCTCATTTGATTTTCACAAGAAATCTATGAGGTTGGTATTATTAATTTCCATTTGATAGAGGAGAAATCTAAGCTCAGAAGTGAGGTAACTTGCCTGCTGTCAAATAGCTGCAAAGGCAGAGGGACCCTGTGACCAGATCTTCTGACTTCCCTCCACCATGTTTCACTCAAGGCCTCCCATTATGCCATCACAGATGCTGCAAGGTAGTAACTGGGAGTTGGCCCAGTTAGTGGGTAACATGTGATTCTCCTTACTGGAGAGGGACTTCAGTGAGAGACTGGGGGCTTGGAGGTCCAGGCCAGAAAGCAGTGGGGAGCTGCCTAGGTCACAAGGTCAGGATGTCCCTGTAGCGGCAAAGTGTGAAACAGGAAAAGTGATCCAGCATCTTGAGAAGCTGAGTCAAAAAGCCAAGCCACTCACGGAAGCAGTGATTTTCAAGGTATGGAATGTAGCCAGTTGGTAGGCCACAAGCATCCTCATGATGTTCCACAAACTGATCCCAAAATACAAGTCTTTTCTTTGGACCTTACTAGCAAATGGCCTTTGATGCCCTAGATTTTCTGTGTGTGTGTGTGTGTGTGTGTGTGTGTGTGTGTATGTGTGTGTGTCTGTCTGTCTAAAGGCTATTTACCAATAACATCTGAGTTGTTAAGAGTTAGTAGTATTTGGTATTCATAAATAAAAATTTAGCACATAACTAGAGTTTACTTAGGGCTTAAGTGAGTATTCACCTGGCCGGCAGGCAACACTTGGCAATATTTGCAGAGTTCCCACAGTAAACATTCATGTGTAGATTGTTGAAGTATCCTCAGTTTTCGAGAAGATTGCTTTGTTATCAGTATCAGTGCTGTGTTGAGTTAGTTATTCTTTTGATGGTTACTATTCCTGCTTTTAAATGATAAATTGCCCTTCATTTACCTTCATCATTATCTATTTTGTTTGAGGTGGATTGGTTGATTAATCTCACAGTAGAATAATAACGTCTATATAGGTCAACACAATTTATGACATATAAGTTTTCTATAATAAAGCATTAAAATAAATATGGATTTTAGCACACATAGGAGCCATCCATACCAATATTGCTAAAGCAGATATTCACGTAATCTGCACAAAATACGTTTGCACGGCAACGATTCATTGCTATCAGGGAATTCTTTGAAAAGGAAGAAAGGCTGGAGTACGTGAGTCTTGGAGACTTTTGCCCCACCTAGGTGGGCCTCAGTCAAAAAGTTTGAGAATCACTGGGTGGAGACGGAGAACTTGGGTTAATTCTAGTGGGATGGAATGAACTACAGAGAGAACTACAGAACTACGGAAGAGAGTGAACATTTGAAGGAAGCCTGGGAGGCAGAAATTGGAGAGATTTCTGGTGCTGAAGAAATGATGCCTGTAGTGTCTTTTCAGATGCCTGTGGCCTCAGGTGTGGATAGGAAAGGAGCAGTTACAAGTGAACATCTCCCCAAAGTGCCCTATAGGGTAGTCTAATTTGTGTACTCTGCAAAGCTGCCCTGCCAGGGCAGATGGGAGCTGAAATCCAGCTGTCCTTCACTGACCGTGAACCCTAGTGCCAGGGAAGAGGAACCTTTTTGTAATTTGTCTGCCTCTACAGAATGCCGTTTAGTAAATGATTTAGAAGTGCGCATATGTGCCAGCTATGGCCTTTGAGATACTCCAGGAAGTCCTGGGATACTACTTTCTCATGGACATACTGAACATGGTCACCTTCAGCTCCCAACTAGAGAAGACAGCTGAGTATTCTAAAGATATTGGAAAGGTATTGAAATAGTCTTAAAACTTAGAGAAGAGTCCAATAAAGTGCTTACATTTTGGCAAAGTCAGAACATGGGAAGAAAAGAGCCTAGGTAAAAAATAAAGTCTGTCTTCTGTTTCTTGAAATCCCACGAAGAAAAATCTTTCAATACTGCAAAAAAGGCCATCTAGAAGGAAAAAAACCCATGGAGAGATGTCTTCTTGTCCTGAGAATATTTGGGTTTGAATACAGGCAAGAGGAAATCATCTGTTTATTATTAAGTATTGAAAGCTCCTTAAATGAAGCGGGCCAAAGTAGAGCTACCGTCTTCAAAAAGCAATTCTAAATCTATCCTGGAATATAATTTCTTGAATACTTTATTATAAGCTTTACACCATTATAAATCATTGTATGTGTCCCATTTCATAAGGTGATAATTATCTTCAAGTAAACCTTAGTGAATAGTAAGATACCATTGAAGATGCAGATGTAAAATAATATTTAGTTTGGCTCCTAAAAGTTGTTCATCTTGGTTTCTTGCCTAGTAACTATTGAGAGAGATGAGTTGACATTGTGCTTTTTTACAAACACGTTTTGCTGACTGAGTTGCCATATTCCTTTCAGAATTCACATTTCAAAAATGGCTTTGATGGGCCCGCCCCGTGGCTTAGCGGTTAAGTGTGCGCGCTCTGCTACTGGCGGCCCGGGTTCGGATCCTGGGCACGTACCAACGCACCGCTTGTCCGGCCATGCTGAGGCCGCTGTCCCACATACAGCAACTAGAAGGATATGCAGCTATGACATACAACTATCTACTGGGGCTTTGGGGAGAAAAAAGGAGGAGGATTGGCAATAGATGTTAGCTCAGAGCCGGTCTTCCTCAGCAAAAAAAGAGGAAGATTAGCATGGCTGTTAGCTCAGGGCTGATCTTCCTCACACACACACACACACACACACACACACACACAAATTAAATAAGAAAAAAATTAAAAACAAAAACAAAACAAAACAAAACAAAAATGGCTTTGGTAGTGTCAGTGGTTACCTTTATTTGATTTACCCTGGGTGACTGAGTGACTGTTTATTTAGTATGAATAAATCCGAGGGTTAGCCCATGTCGCTGGCACACCAGCCATGATCCTAGGGGGCTGCGTGGTTAGGAAATTCCCTTGTGGGGCCGTTGAATTGTATAAGATCCATTATTTTTGTTTTCTAGTGGTTCATCAACCCACAAAAACCCGAGCCACTGTATTGCTGGAAGAGCAGGCAGAAACCACATTGCTTTAAATAACCAAACAAACTGGAAAGAAAAAAAAACAGGTCCCCCACCTGTAGTCAGTGGAATTTAAATTCACAAGGGGTGTGGTCAAGTTGCATAACTTACTCCCTTAAATTATGAGTGGGCAAGCCTACAACAACCATTGTTTTTCTCAATCCTCAACGTGAGTGTTAGGACCTAAAGACATCAAATACAGAAGTCTTGGAGGGTAAAGCCATAATAGCAGATGAATGCAGCTTTTCAAAGATCCAGATGAAGTAAGAAGGAGGAAATACAGTAAAAGCAATAATAGCAGATGAATGCAGCTTTTCAAAGATCCAGATGAAGTAAGAAGGAGGAAATACAGTAAAAGCAATATTCACTCCCATCTTTTTTTCCCTGAAGACAGAGTAGGGAGTGTTGTTTTGTTTCCCCTTTTGATTTGTAACCTGGGACCAGGATTAGAAAATAATAAAAATAGTAACTAGCACTTTAGAGTTCGTAAACTGCATTCGTATATGTTAGTTTATTTGAGTTCCAAAATAGCCATTATTAGACTCGTTAATACAGGGAGCACCGAGCCTTAGAGAAGCTAACTGACTCACTCATGGCAGCTCAGCTAGTGAGGTACAGCCTGGGCTCCAAGCCCCATCTTCTGACCCCAAAGCCTATGCTTTTCATTTTATCAGCATAATCTAAAGCAAATGGTGTCCCTTTTTGATTTGACCTCCTACAGCAATTCAAACTGGTTTAATTGATCTCCAAATAATGGAAAATTGACTTAACTATAACATCAATATTACACCTATTAGTCAATTCAGGAACCCAGAAGTCTCTTGGCTAGTTCTGCTGGTTTTACAACCCATGTAAGTATGAAAAGCTTGACAATACTATAACTTCCCCCAGAAAGCCAAGGTGACATTAACCTGAAATTAGGTCAGGAGGCTTTTCCTTATCCCCTGTAATTTTTACATCACTGGTACCTGTGTACCTAGTAAATTTTAGGCTGTTGTCATTCCTTTAATAATCAGTTTAATTACTCTAGCATTCACATTTTTCCTTTGGATTATTTTTGTTTTCCATCTGTTTTATATATTCCTCCATTCCACCCGACTCCAATTGGCTCTCTTAACATTCCAGTCTCTTGTCCTAAGGCCCTAGTAGATAGCTAGCACCTGAAGTAGGGGGTCTTAGGAAACCTCATGTCTGTTCACTATTGAAATATTTTTTAAACCTTTTTTACAAATTTTTCAATGGTAATAAAATATTTAAGACAGAGAATCTTAGTACAAAGTCTAAAAGTCGTATTGACAAAAACATTTTTTAAAAAATAAAATGGTACTGGCCGCTAGTATACACAGGGATTTGAATCATTAAGTTACATGACAACTTGATTTCAAGGATAAATCCCAAGTCATCACTACCAAAATGTGTTGTGCCAAATGTCTAGAGGTCTGGAGCTAAAACCACAGCTAAGCTGAGTGCTGGACTATATTTTAGTCTTGGCAGACCCAAGAAGCAAGAGGCCAAGACATAGTTCATCTGAGCATTTGTCCAGAGCACACTGAGCATATCAATCCCACCCCCACCCTTCACCTACCCCCCAAACACGTTACCCTCTTCCGCTGTCCCCATCCAAATTCAGGTAAAAGAACTTGAGGAAAATTTTCTCCCCAAATGTTGAGGGATTTGTCCTTTTTTATGGTTTTTTTAATCAACCAAAGAAGAAGAATCTTAAAGGAAAACATCTTCCAGCCTTGTGGCTTCTTCTTTATGAACCCTTTCATTGGGTTAAGGAGAGATCATTAGATGGAAAAGGAAAGTCCTGTTCCTGGCTGGAGATTTAATCCTATAAAGAATTCCTAGCACACTATGCTGCCCAAAAGGATGCAGAGTTCCTTCCTTCTCATTTTTAGTGCCCCCTGGCTTCACCCATGTCCTTCACCCTGCTCTATACTCCCTCTTTCCTCAAGTTATTGAATCTGAAGATAAGTGGCAACGGAGAAAGGGAGAGGCAGGTGAGCCTCAGGTTCCACATGGAGAATCCTACAGATTAAGAGTTTCATTTTCCTTCTCCATCATTACTCACTATTAGCTTATGACTTAAAGTTAATCATGCCCTTTCTTGCAACATTTGGCAAATTGAACCTCTGATTCCCATCAGAGGATTTGGCAGGGTGGGGAGAAGGGGAGGTGGGCACCTAAAAATTATTATTGCTTCCAACATTGCCATTATGTTTGCTGATTTCAGAACTGTTTGCACATAAAGCAGCAGGGAGAGGAGTGACCACTTGGAGTTTAATGAGAGATCACTGGAGTCTAGTAATTGGTTCTTCCAGGTTTGGACCACTGGGTAGCAGCTGACAGGTGAAGGGTTCTAAACCTGCATACTTTCAGAGAGCTGCTCATGCAGTAGTGCTGTCTAGGGGAAATGTAAGGCTATTTGGTGACAAAGGAAAATGGCGCAATAGAGAAAACAAAACCATAGTCTGAAAGTCAGGAGTCATGGGACTTGAGTCCTGTCTCTACCACTACCTAGTTATAGCCTAACCTTGGGGAGTCATTGCACCTCATCTGCAAAGTGGGGAGAATAGAATAACACATTGCCCAGCTTTCTTCCTAGGGTGGTAATGAATATTAAATAAGATAATGTCAATGAAAATACTTTATAAAGTATTTAAAAACCTGAATACATGTAAGATAGCATGACTGAAATGAGGCAGTGGTCTAAATAACCACTAAGGTGACTTTTACCAGCACAATTTTATGCTACTGACAGTCTTGATCTGAAGTCTGACAAATTTATTTGTAGAAAATCTGGCTTTGCCAGAAACACTGACAGGCCATTTATAACCAACCCTAATGTGCTTAAGAGAGTAGAACTATTACAGGAACCACACAAAATAGTAGTTCTACATAAATACATAAAATATCTAGAATGACATAAAATACTGAAAAATGTGTTTTTTCCCCATTAGTTTCGCACCTAGAAGGAAACACCTAGCCTCTGAATGAAAAGTAGTGGAATGTTGGGGAGACTATCATATCATAAGAGGGAGTTAGAGGGCAGAAAATTAGGGTAATATGTTAGAGAACTTTGACCAGGATAAGGAAGGGGTGGAGCACCTGGGCATATTTATCCCAGAAAAAAAAATGTGATGGGAAGAACACAAATGCTGTCATAAAATATTGAAAGGGCCATTACAGAGGAGATGATTAGATACTCTGTTCCAGAAGGCAGATCACTGGGCACAAAATGAAGTTGTTAGATTGAATGATCTCTAAGTTCCCTTAAACAAAATTCTGATGTCCCAAAGTTACAGGGAGAGAGGCTGTGGCTCAGCACAAAAGAATACTTTCCATAAACAAGGGTTCTCCTTCAGTGGGCAGAGACACCCAATCCTGGACGTATTTTGACATACAGAAGGAGCCTGGATTGCTGTTTAGGAAGGATGTCGAGGGCATGCCTACATTCTGAGTGAAATCAAACTCCATGACAGCATGGCATCTCCAATTCTAAGATTTTTTGATTCTTTAGGAGGATGTGTCATAAAAAGTGCTAAATAAGGGATCTGTGTGTCCTTCACTGTCAGCGGGGATAGATACTGTCTAGGTGGTGATTGTTGTCATTCTCGTCTTCTCTCTTGCTTGGAAATTGCTAAGAGGCAGCTTTTCCAGTGCATTTGGATTAATAGCCTTATTTTCTACTTTATTTGGGGTTTTTTTGTTGTCGTTCATTGTAACCTTCTGTGAATAGTTTTTTTTTATAGCAGCTACAAAACAAAAGCCACATACAAGCTTGCACCAAGAAAATCCTATACTCAGCCTGAAATGACGATGTCATTGGATTATGTTTTGCAGATAGCATGTGATACACTGATTGACAAAGTTTAGAAATAAATCAAGATCATCCTGACATTTAGGAATCTGACAGACAGATGGTACCAGCACAGTTTCAAGCTCTTAACTAGGTCATAGGCCTATAATGAGTTATGAGGTTTTCTGACCTAGGCAGCTATACTGCCTGACTCTAGGAGAAGACATTGCTGGATCTGAGGGAACAATTTCATCATCAACTAACTATAAATTCTGCAAGTGGATGAATAAGATTAGCAACAGCAAATTCACTGAACATCCTATTGAGATTGAAGTGAAGCTCATCCCAACAGTTATGAGGGGCTAACCATGTAAATTTAGTGCACAAGAACAAAAATAACTATGTACACTAAGAAAAATGTAGAAGACAAAAGAAAGGCCAAAAGAAACAATGGATATATTAGGATATTTTCAGTTGCAAATGCCAGAAAACTCATCTCAAAATGGCCTAAATAAAGGGAATTTATTGGCTTACATAACTGAAAAATTCAGGCGTGGCTGGCCCCAAAGTTGCAGATGATGTCAAGAAAACATTCCCACATCCTCTTCCCCTTGATCTCTCTGTCTCTCATCTTGGCTTCATTCTCTGCAGAGTCCCTTCACCTGGTGGCCCCTAGAAACTCCAGGTTTATATTCTCTCAGCTTCAAGTCAAATAGAGACAGCACCTCTTTCCCAGCAGTTTCAGCACAAGGACCCAAATTGAGTTTCATTGGCTTAGCTTGGGTCATGTGCACTTCCTTTCACTAATGACAGAGGCCTAGTGATGGGTAAATAAGGTCAGCACCTAAACCACAAGGACAGAAAGTGGGAAAACTAGTGAAGGAGGAGGAATGAACGTTGGGCAGGCAAAAACGACAGATGTCCACTTGCCTAGAACAGCTTCAAGCAATGTGGTAACATCACAGATGGCTGGGAAACTACTGCAGGCTACAGATCCTGGCAGCTGGAGGTCCAGAATTTGCCATTTTATGAACAGAAGCTTCAGGCTCATCATGGATGAGGATGCAGCAGCTCTAAGAACACCATGCAGTTCTGGGGTCTGGATGGTCTTTAGTCTAAGAACAGGTATTGGACACGCTTGGCACAAGAAGATCCCATGTTCTCAGAGCGGCCTTAATAGGCACAAGCAGACTCATATTGGAACCTGTTATCTAGTAGTGGCATCTCAGGAAACAAAGAACAACTCTGTGAGGGTATGTGGGTGTGCATAGATGTTCAGATGCAAGTGTTGGTGGCCTTGATGCTGTATCATTGATAGAGAAGCTCTCAGAAGAGCACAATAGCCAAGCAATGGTCCTGGAAACTCACCTTTCATGTGGCAATGGGTAGAAAAGGAATGGACAATTAGGTAAAACCTGGGCTAGACTTCTCTCTGGGTTGCGGTGAGGGCAGGTGGAATTGCTCCTTGGGAAGGAAGGAAAGGTAGTAAAACACTGCTTCTGCTCTATTTTGGAGGTGAGTGGATAGGTCTGGACAAAGCAAAGCTTTTTAGCAAGTCGAAAAATGGGTTCTTCAGTCAAGGAAGGGAAAAGCCACAGTGGAAGACACAAGGGAAAGACTGGAGCTCTCTGAGGGCCTGAAATGAGCCACTGAGTTTTAGGAGCCATTGATTTGATTTTGAGCACACAGGGAAGGCACTGGCTCATGCGTCCCTTGAAGGCAGCCCCTTTTGCCCACTATTACCAAACTGCAGTCACAATCAGGTATGGATATGCCTTTTAACAAGTATTTGTATTTCTTAATGCCAGAGAAAGCATTAAAGTCATCAATGGCTTTAAAGGAAAATCATGTTCCTATCTTCCAGCCTCCTTTTCCGTGAAGTCTACCAGACAATAAAGGAAGGAAGGAAGGAAGGAAGGAAGGGAGGGAGGGAGGGAGGGAGGGAGGGAGGAGGGTGAGAGGGGAGAGAGAAGAAGTGAGGAAGGAAAGAAAAAAAGAAAAGAAAAGAAATTCCATATAGTAGTTTGCTTGGGCTACCATAACAAGCTACCACAAACTAAGCAGCTTAAACAATGGAAATTTATCATCTCACCATTTTGGAGGCTAGAAATCCAAGATTGTGCAACAGTTTTGGTTCTTTTTGAGGCTGTGAGGAAGACTCTGTTCCATGCCTTTCCCCTAGCTTCTGGTGGTTTGCTGGCAATCTTTGGTATTCCTTGACATTTAGATGCATCACCCCGATCTGTGCCTTTATCTTCACATGGTGTTTTCCCTGTGTGGGTGACTGTCCAAATTTCTCCTTTTTATAAGGAAACCAGTCATATTGGATTAGGGCCCACCCTAAACCTCATCTTAACTACCTCTGCAATGACTGTAATTCCAAATAAGGTCACATTCTGATATACTGGGGGGGGGGCACAATTCAATTCATAACAGTCCATAATCTTCTTAATATTCTAGGAGCTATAAATGGCTGCACATTTTGCTCCGGTGTTCGAATTCTACAGCTTAATAGTATGTTGGGGGCGGAGTGTGTTCTTCAGAATTCCCTCTTTCCCATCACTGAGATCATCATGATGACCAAAGAGTAAAAGACCAGATTCTTCCAACTTGAAAGATTTATATATCTTTTGAAGAAAAAATTGGAGGAAAATCAAAATTTGGATAAAGGCACTGATTCTTTGACTTTCCAATGGGAGAGGGGAACCCTTTGTTACTTTACTCTCAATAGGAACAGGAGAACACAGTACTTCTCTCTCCACTCCCCCTCTCTGAAGGAGGGGCATGGGAATGGGGTTGGTTAGTTCCTAATTTGACTTTTGAGAGCAAATTCTTCTGTTGCTGATACAAACCAAGCAATCACGTCACTGGAAATGCCCACTTGCTTAGTGTAAGTGAGGCTTTGTGTCGAACAAAAGGAAGACAGCCCTACATTTAACCTCAGTCAAGTCCTCTGTGGGACAGACAGCAATAACACGCATGATTGCAACCCATAAATAATATACCTTATGTCATCTGCATTTTGCCTACTCTTCAGGACAGAGGGTACTATTCCTGGGCAAGTCTATGTTAATCCTGGACTTCTAACTCCAGAGCCAACTCTTGCAGGGAGTGGCATTTCCCGTTACCTCTTCCTCTCTCTATATTTTCAGTCCAGCCAAGCATAAATAAGTGGGCAATTTCTACCCTGATCACTGAAGCTCTAAAGATAGGGCGCTGAACTCGCTAAATGATGAATACATGCCATATGGAGCTAACGGCAAGTTCGGATGTAAATTATCTCCATCTTGCTCTCTGCACTGCAGATAAAAAGTCCCTTGTGTCATCTCTTTGTGCTGAGCTGTGTGTATCTGAAAACAGCTAAAATCACTGAGAGAAGTGGAACATTTGATTTCATCGAAAAAGGACTGGGTATTGCTTGCATTAATGATTAGGAAATGTTTTGAAAACATTATTTGAGGTTGTGCCAATATATTTCATTTGGAATCTCATATTTAAAGCAAATGGTTGAATCCTTTTGGCCAGCTGTATTAATAGTGCAGTGCAATGTACAAGAGTAGGAGTCAAAAGACCCTGGTTTGGGTTTCTGCACTGACGATAACATTTGCCAAGCACTTACCGAGTACCAGCAACTGTTCTAGGCACTTTACACAAGTTATATCTTCATAACAACTCTAGAAGACAGGTCCTGTCATTCCCAATTTATATATGAGGAAACCATTCAAATAGTTACTAGAGGAGCTGGATTCAAATCCACACTGTCAACCACAAAGGCCATGCTCTTTGCAGTCCTCCATGCGACCTCTTGCCATCTAGCTGTTTTGACTTGAAGCAGATACAAACCATTTCTTTATTCTTAAAAAGGGGGGTTGAATTAAATATTCTCTAAGATCCTTTCCAGTTCTAAACACTGCCTTTCTGTGATCTCCCTCTTTTCAAAATGTAAGTAAATCTTTCATTTAAATACTGCCCTTCTTCTTCAAACTCTACGACAATCTTCCTGTTGATGGAGGAGTGAAAAGCTCTCTTGTTTCAGAGATTAGAAATAATAAAGTTCAGAAACTATTCTTCTGAGTCCATTTCCCTGTGGACCTATGTGTAGTCTTCTAGCAGTGCAAACGGGACGTAAGAAATCACAGTTGTGTTAGCAGAGGTCCTGAGGTTCTCAGATAATGTATAGATGTGCTGTGATGTATGGGTTTCCCCTCTGTGTAGAAGTGTAAGCTATTTAGAACTTCCAAGTAACCACTTATTATTTGCCTAATTTTCTGGGCATTCCTCCTAGATTCAATAAGAAGACACTTGAGACATGGCATATTAATTTCTCACTGAGCTCCCCCAATTTTTCTTTTTTATGGATTGATGTGTCAGTCTAAATACAAGAGGCCAGCCATGTTCTATGAAACCATTTGTAAGGGTTCCAATACAAAGAAAAAAGATGTTCCTTTAAAGATACTTCTCAAGGGCTCCAGAATCTGCAGAGACTGGCTACGGACAGATTAAGGCGACAAGAATGAGTGTGTCCTTATAAAGGTTGAGGTTGAGGAGATTCAAGGAAAGATAGCAAGAGTGAGGCAGTCCCAAGGCAGTTACTGCTGAAGTTTTAAATGAAATGAATGGATAGGTGACTTCTTTACCGGAGTGAGTAAGTATACAGAATATTAGATGTGTCCACTTTTGAAAGAAGAGAGGAAATTTCATAGAAAAGTAGACTCTGGAAAAGATCCCTCAGCTTTCTTTCTCTTTGAAACTTGACTCACAAAAGTAGTGAGGTGATATATCTAGTAGCAGATTTTTAAAAGATGATTTGTCTCTTTCAGGCTCTGATTTTTAGCTTGAGAGAGAATTACTGAAGAAAGTCATTTATTATTGGATGTATAAGTTGGATATTTCAGATAGCATGAGTGATCAACACCATCTCCTTCCTTACACTTTGTTAATTTAATCAACAAAGTTATATACTATATGCTTCCCTCAGAAGGGACAGAAAGAAAGGAAATCAGCATTTATTGAGTACTTTCTATGTGTGAGATCCATTATTTTATTTTCTTCATAACTTTGCCTTTCCTCCCACCCAGTCTTTTGTTTTTATTTATTTTTTATTTTTCCCCCAAAGCCCCAGTAGATAGTTGTATGTCATAGTGGCTCATCCTTCTAGTTGCTGTATGTGGGACGCGGCCTCAGCATGGCCAGAGAAGCGGTAGGTGGGTGCGCACCCGGGATTCGAACCCAGGCAGCCAGCAGCGGAGCGCACGCACCCAACCGCTAAGCCACAGGGCCGGCCCCTCCTCCCACCCAGTCTTAATCATAGAGAAAGCATAAGAAACCACTTTTGAAATGGACAAATCAAAATAGGATCATTTTTTTTCATCTCAACAACCTGGCAATTGTGCCTTCATCTCCCTTTTTTTTTTAGTGATACAGGACTGTATGCAACTTTCAGAATGACAATTCTGGCTTTGATTCCTGGAGGGCACTGGTATGAGTATTGAGAAGGCCGTTTCATGCAACCCCAAGTCAGGATATGTGCATCCCATTTCATCCATCCAAACTCAGGAGTCCCAGAATTGCGTGTGTACGAATCACTTGAAACCTATTTTTTAATAGTCATTAAGCCAGCACAAATATTTAAAAATTAAAAAAAAAAATTCAAGGTCTTTAATCATTTTTATCAAAAAGGACCCTTAGATGCATTAAAACTCAAGTCATTCTTACTGGTTAAAACACTGAAATCTCAATGCCTTATCAGAGTGAGCTGTGGAAATAAGAAATATCAGTAAGTGTAACCTCAATAGAGAAAAAGTCAAATGTGATAGAAGTATAAAACAAAAGTGGGCTAGTTCAGAATCTGTTTTGATATATCTTCCTGAAACAAAATCTCTGTTAATAATGACACAATTTTTTTTTTAATTACAAGTATCTATTTTCATTAACAAGAGTCAAAACCTTCTGGCTATATTATAATTAACATCAAATCCTGACTAACTTTTTCCCAATGAAACCACTTTATTGCATGTTTATCTGTCCTTGGATTTAAAGTGAGTTTTAGTCCTCCATGCATAAATGATAAAGTATACACAGAAAACATTTATAGTTATTACTAAAAAAGCAGTAGATTTTGTAACTTTAAGAAGAGAAAAACAGTTATCAGGATTCTCTAGTATTGAGTATTTCTTTTTTTTTTAAAGATTTTATTTATTCATTCATTTTTCCCCCCAAAGCCCCAGTAGATAGTTGTATGTCATAGGTTCACATCCTTCTAGTTGCTGTACGTGGGACTCGGCCTCCCGTTGGACGGAGAAGTGGTGCCTTGGGGCATGCTTGGGATCCGAACCCGGGCCGCCAGCATCAGAGCGCGCTCACTTAACCGCTAAGCCACGGAGCCGGCCCGAGTATTTCTTTATACAGCAGAATTTGTATGGATATTCTTTTAGAAGTGTCTTACAACAAATTGTGATAAATCTGTTTTACAATCACATTAGTTTGTCTATAATAGTTGAAATTTTAGGGAGATCTGCCCAGGAGTGGATAGACTGTGACCTCTTTTAGTAATCTAGAAAATTGTGAAAGCAGTCTGGTTAAAACAGTCACCTACAGCATAGCACTTAGTGAACAAAGCCTCAGGGTCTCTCCTTTGGAGTAGTTTAAAAGCCCACCCAGGAATGATGGAATGTATGTGTTTTTAAAAATAGAGTTTTTGAATTGTGTAATTCAAAACAATTATTGAATAAGAATGTGAACAAATACTAATCAGCTATAAAGCCATGGAAGGCTCTAGTAACCAAGAATGCATGATTTTTAAACTTTGTCACCCACCAGCAGCTGTTCTTATGCCCCTCAACCAAATGCTTAACTAACCATATAGATTTAGTCAAGGTTAGGAAACTAGAGTAGACCAAAAAAGAAATTAGAATACCACTGGAAACCTATTTCAAAGGAATAAGATCCTGCCCTCTCTCTACAAACTAAACAAATTTGAAACCCACAGCTTTTGGAATTTTCTGGCTGATCTCGGCTGATATGAAAATGCCAGAGAGAGGAGGCAGGTGCAGTGATGACAAACAGATTTGTACAGTTCTAGGTATTTTTGCCATTGTTGGCAAACTTTTGGGAGATCAGATCAAGAGCCCTCACATGCTTTCAGGTTAATTTAGAGAGTTGTTCCATCCAGAAGAGGGCTTTAACTTTTTTTAAAGAGTAAACCCTCCTTCTCCAAACAATCTAAAAGAGCCTTTTCTTCTTTACTCTTCATAAACCCAATATATTAGTTACCCTTAGGTACTTCTACATGTGACAGAAAAAAACAAAATAACTATGGCTTATGTGATTATTTCTGTTTCATATAAAAGAAGTCTGGTGGTAGGCAGTTCAGGGTAAGTGTAGTGGTTCTACAAATTTGTGAGGGATGCAGGCTACTTCCAGCTTGCCACTTTGCCATCCTTATCCTCACAGTCCAAAATGGCTACTAGAGCTCTAGCCAACCCATCTATATCCCAGCAATAGGATGGAGGGACAAGGAAAGGTACATTCCCTCCCTTTCCCCAGGGAGACTTCCTGGAGGTTACGCACAAGACTTAGCCAAATGTAGGCACATAGCCACATCTAGCTTCGAAGGAGGCTGGCAGGTCTTCAACTTAGTGGTAATGGCTCAGTTAAAATCTGAAATTCTTACTGTTAGAGAAGAAAAGGATAATGGGTATTGAGAGGTAACTAATAATCTTTGCTGCAAACTTGGGGTTGGGGTCCAGTAGAAACTGGAACCCACATCTCCTAACTCCAAATGTAAGGCACTTACAACATTTTAAATTTCTCCTTTAGAATATTATATTTTGCTGAGCTTTCCAGCATATTCAGTTGTCTTGTGACTTTTGGTTAAATGTGGCTGCAGAATAATATAACTGGTGAGTGTCTTTGGTCAGCGTTCTGTTTCTATATTTTTTTATTTTTCTTAATATCTGCTTTATGAGATATAAACCACATACCATAAATGTCACTCTTAATGTAATCCTTTTAAAGTGTACAATTCAGTGGTTTTATAGTATATTCACAGAGTTGTGCAACCATCACCACTCTCCAATTTTAGAGCATTTTCATCACCCCAAAAAGAAATCCCATACCCGTTGGCAGTCACTCCCCTATTTCCCTCTTCCCCAAGCTCCTGGCAATCACTAATCTACCTTCTATCTCTATAGATTTACCTGTTATGGACATTTCATATAAATGGAGTCATACAATATGTAGTCTTTTGTGACTGGCCTCTTTCACTTAGCATGTTTTCAAGGTTCATCCATGTTGCACCATGTATCAGCACCTCATTCCTTTTATGGCTGAATAATATTCCATTGAATGGATAGCCATATTTTGTTTATCCATTTGTCAGTTGGTGAAATTTTGGTAGTGTCCACTTTTTGGCTATTATGAATAATGCTGTGATGGACACTCATGTACAAGTTTTTGTGGGGGGCATTTTTATTTCTATTGGGTATATCCTAGCAGCGGAATTGCTGAGTCATAAGGTAACTGGGTTTAGCATTTTGAGGAACTGCCAAACTATCTTCCCAAGTGGCTGTTTCTTTTTACAACCCCAGCAGCAATGTATGAGGGCTTCAACTTTGCTGCATCTTCATCAGCACTTGTTATTCTCTGTCTTTGATTTTAAGTCATCTTAGTGATTGTGAAGTGGTATCTCATTGTGGTTTTGATTTCCATTTCCCTGATGGTAAATAATGTTGAGCATCTCTTCATGTGCTTGTTGGTCATTTACGTATCTTCTTTGGAAAAATGTCTATTTAAATCCTTTGCCAATTTTTAAATTGGATTATTTGTCTATTTTTGAGTTGTACTAGTTCTTTATACATTCTAGATACAAGCCCCTTATCAGATATATGACTTGCAAATAAATGTTTTCTCCCATCTATTGGACTATCTTTCACTTTCTTTTTTTTTATTCAGGTATAATTGCCATAGTATATTAGTTTCAGGTGTACAATATAATGATTCAATATTTGTATATATTGCTAAATGGTCATCACAGTAAGTCCGGTTAACATCTGTTGCCATATATAGTTACAAAATTTTTTTTCTTATGATGAGAAGATCTACTCTCTTAGCAGCTTTCAAAAATGCAACATGGTATTATTAGTAACTATAGTCACCATGCTGTACATTACATCCCCATGACTTATTTATTTTATAACTGGAAGTTTATACCGTTTGACCCCCTTTATCCATTTTGCCCACCCCCTCCCCACCTCTGGCACCACCAATATGTTCTCTGTATCTATAAGTTTGGTTTTTGTTTTGTCTTGTTTTGGTTTTTTTAGACTCCACATATAAGTGAGATCATTTGGTATGTGTCTTTCTCTGTCTGACTTATTTCACTTAGCATAATGCCCTCAAGGTTCATCCATATTGTGGCAAATGGAAAGATTTCATTTTTTTTAATGGCTGAATAATATTTCATTGTGTATGTAAACCATATTTTCTTTGTCCATTCATCCATCAATGGACACTTAGGTTGTTTTCATGTCTTTTCTATTGTAAATAATGCTGCAATGACATGGGGGTGCATATATCTTTTCAAGTTAGTGTTTTCATTTTCTTTAGATAAATACCCAGAAGTGGAATTCTTGTATCAGATGGTAGTTCTATTCATTTCTTTAAGAACCTTTATACTGTTTTCCATAGTGGCTGTACCAATTTACATTCCCACCAACAGTGCACAAGGGTTCCCTTTTCTCCACATCCTCACCAACACTTATTTCTTGTCTTTTTTATATTAGCCATTCTAACAGGTGTAAGGTAATATCTCATTGTGGTTTTGATTTGCATTTCCTTGATGATTAGTGATGATGAGCATCTTTTCATATACCTGTTGGCCATCTGTATGTCTTCTTTGGAAAAATGTCTATTCAAATCTGCCCATTTTTAAATTGGATTGTTTATTTTTCTGCTATTGAGTTGTGAGTTCTTTATATATTTTGGATATTAACTCCCTTATCAGATATATGATTTGCAAATATTTTCTCCCCTTCAGTAGGTTGTCTTTTCATTTTGTTGATATAGTCCTACTTGTTTATTTTTGCTTTTGTTGCCAGAGCCAAAAAATCATTGTTAAGACCAATTTCAAAGCACTTACTGCCTATGCTTTCCTCTATGAATTTTGTGGCTTCAAGTCTTACAGTCAAGTCTTTAATCCATTTTTGAGTTAATTTTTGTGTATGATATAAGATAGTGGTCCAGTTTCATTCTTTTGAATGTGGCTGTCCAGTTTTCCCTACACCATTTATTGAAGAGACTGTCCTTTCTTCATTGTATATTCTTGGCTCCTTTGTTGTAAATTAATTGATCATATATGCATGGGTTTATTTCTGGGCTTTCTCTTCTGTTTATCTTTCACTTTCTTGATGGTATCTTTAAAGTACAAAAGTTTTTAATTTTGTTAAAGTCCAATTTATCTATTTTTTCCTTTGTTGTATATGCTTTATTATCATATCTAAAAACCATTGCCAAGCCCGAGGTCACAAAGATTTACTCTTGTTTTCTGGTAAGAGTTTTATAGTTTTAGCTGTTAACATTTAGGTTGATGATTCATTTTGCATTAATTTTTGTATATGGCTGTTTTTGTACTCTTAATCTTCACAGCATATTTAAAAAATCATTGTGAATCGTAGGTTTCTGTCTCTGAAGAGGATTCAAACAACCTCAGCAATTCATACTGGAAAAGATTGAACTCTTTGGGCTAGATTGCCGTCAAAGTTATAAACAATATACTTTAGAAAGAGTAATATGTTCTATCAATGCTTCTTTTGTTTACAATTTAGCATAGATAACTTACAAAATGACCAAAATTGACTTATGAATCTCTCCTTTATTTTTATTCAGTTGTATAAACAATTGAATTAGGAATTGGTACATTTTGGAACAATATCTTCGATGTTCATAACAGACACCATTCTGCCTTCATGTTCACTGTGGGAATTGTGACTATAAACTTTCAATTTTTGGTCAATCAGAAAATTAACGTTAGACAAAAATATCAAAAATAGCCCAAACTGGGGGGGGTGGGGGAAACCTTCTTAAGACAGCAAAAACTAGATTATCATAATGAAAACAACTGGCAAGAAATTCTAAATGTCTCTTTTTGATTTCACACACACGTATTCATTTATCAAGGGCAGCAATTTTAAAAATCACAGAATTAGAGCTGGAAGGGGTCTTAAGAGTTTATCTCTTCCAGCCCTTACCTCCAGGTAGCAAAGTATCATTTTTCCATTTCCCATTTTACGGATGAGGCAAGGGAAGCAACTCTTTCTCTGTTTCATTTCTTGGCTTCCTCAGTCTCGATTTCTTTCTCAGGTAACTTGCTTTACTGGAGGTCACTGGCGGCAGAATACACATCCTTATAGCTACCAATCCAAGAGGAAATTGCTTCTCCTTCCTAATCATTATACTTCTACCAGTCGTCCCAGAATTGTGTCTGTTTGGCTTGACTTGGAGATATATATGTAATATATTATGTATACAATATCCCCCCTCCATCCAGAGAAGTTATATGAATTCCTAGGATGAGACAATTTGTAAGTGATGGAGCTGCAACAGTAACCCAGTTTTCTCAACTCAGCCTCATCCTGTGCTCCGTGTGCTTCACAATAACTGGCTTGAGTCTCTTCAGACTACAAGACAATAATGGATTTCTTATATTCCTTTCAATTTTGTCTTAGACTGTTACTTGAATATTTTATAAGCTATTACATTTGTTATGGTTAATATTTTTATTATTTGTACTTTTTTTCCTCTAAGTTTAAATTCTTTGAGGTCTTCAATTGTGATGTATACATTTTTAAAATGTATACTTTTTTTTAAAAAAATCAATACTTTTCTTGCACGTAGTAGGCACTTGATAAATATTTGCTTATTTGAGCCACCTACCAAAACTGAAGCAGAGAACAGAATCTTCCATACAGAATAAGAAAATAAGCAGGGAGGGGCCAGCCCGTGGCCTAGTGGTTAAGTTTGGCACACTCCACTTTGGCAGCCCAGGTTTGGTTCCCAGGTGTGGACCTACACCACTTGTCAGTGGCCGTGCTGTGGTGGTGACCCACATACAAAATAGAGGAAGACTGAAACAGATGTTAACTCAGGGAAAATCTTCCTCAAGCAAAAAGAGGAAGATTGGCAACAGATGTTAGCTCAGGGTGAATCTTCCTCACCAAAAAAAAGAAAAGAAAAGAAAAGAAGAGGGGAGTCACATATGAGGCCGAAATTAGAGAATGATAGGGAAAATATCCAGCAGGACCATGAAATTCATGGTCCTAAATCTGAGTAAAGCAATTCAAACACATAAAAAGTGTCATGAAAACTCATCCTTCTTTTTATGATATAAAATATAGAAGATATTCCTAGGAATAGAATGTTTTGTGAAAGAAGTGTCTTCATTCACTCCCCAAACTGAAGTGTGTCATGGTCAAATAGATCCAGAATCAGAACACATTAGATGTACTATGAATAGATTTATTCTGGAGAGTTACCATTTTTATCAATTAGATATGATTAATAAACAGAAACTATAGGTGGAAAGCTTTTAGATAGTGAAAGAATATTTTAAAAGTACACAGTGACACAATATCTTCAAACTAAGGCTATAGTTATGCAACTTTAATCATTATTTTTATTATAAAAAACAATATAAAAACATTAAAGGAGAATTTAAAAAAGAAAATGGGGGCCGGCCAGGTGGAGCAGTGGTTAAGTGCGTGCGCTCCGCTCCCCGCCAGCGTGCACTGACACACTGCTTGTCAGGCTATGCTGTGGAGGCGTCCCACATAAAGTGGAGGAGGATCGGCACAGATGTTAGCTCAGGGCCAGGCTTCCTCAGCAAAAAGAGGAGGATTGGCATGGATGTTAGCTCAGGGCTGATCTTCCTCACAAAAAAAAGAAAATGGTATCACTCATAATCTTTACACTTTAACATAAAGTTATTTGTGTATTCTTTTTGAGTCTTTATTCTCTTATATATGTACTTAAAAATTTTTTTAAATCATAGAATACATACAAGATAAAAACCAACTTTTAATTATTTAACCTCTAAGGATATCTAGGAAGAAAGCTAAAATGTTTCTGAATAAAGGGCAGTGGAATATAAGCTGTTAATATTTTATTTTTTGAAAATTATTTTAAGGAGTCAAAAGGGAAATCAAATAAGAAAGGTGTGT